ATACTTTGTTTCCAAGTCTGAACATAATTGACGAAATGTACTTTGGTCCATCCTAAAAGCGTTAAAACACCGTTTTTCATGACCATACAACAATTCATCCATCCATCTTTGTCCTGTTAAGTATGATGTCATACAACGTTCCTTATATATGTGATTCATGAAATACACATACATATAGCTAGTTGTACAAGCTACCAAATCCCAAAAGTCATCATCATCGTCCAGATACTCTTTAATTAGGAGAAGCTTCCTAATGGTTATATTAGTATCATCCATGCCTACAAAAATACATGTCATCTTATTTTAGCTTAAAAAATAATAAATAATTTTAATAATATAGCACAACCCTAAAATGTAGATAAACAACCCATATAACATAATTTCATAATAACGAAAATGATTCAGTCCAAACATTGCAAACATAAACAATAAACTAAGTATCCAAAATATGGATAATGTTGAGGCATTTAGCATTCAGGCAAGCATAAGTTCATAATATAGTTTGAAGAATAAAAAAGATTTCAAAACATGGCAATCCATAACATCATTGCATAACTAAGTTTAAAAAAAAACTCATGTAAAACTAAGTTCATAACCAAGCCTTTTAGATCCTGTTTCGCTCAACATACACAAACTTGATGTACTCAACTCTCATCTTGTCATTTGGTAAACCAAGAAGAATAGACCTTTTCTGTGGATCTTCAATCATCGTGCAAGCAAAATAGAATTCAGGTGTGCTCGCATCTAGATCCAAAGCACACAATTTTGCTAATGCATCAGTAATCTCACCATCTTTAGGTTTGACCATTGAGTCCATAACACTCATGATAGACATATGCACTCCCTTAGATGTGTTATTCCTTTCTCCAATGAGTTGCATCATGCTATCAAGTTTTTCACCCAAAGATTTGGTTTTACCTGCCCTTTTTGAGGTTTCAATCCTTGCACTCTTATTAGATTGCGGTGCATCACTCAGTACAACTCTCTTGCCGTTCCTTGTTTCATACCTTTCATTTTGTGTACCTATAGGAGAGATGGGAGGAGGGCTATCGTCTCTCCAAACATCATCCCATGCTTCACGGGTACTACCACCATATGTAGTAGTATCTATATAATCAACATGATTACCAAGAGTATCACTACGAGGTGGAGAAGGAACATACACATTATCATCTTCAGGATTATCACCTTCTGGGAGATCAGACACCGGAGTGTATTTTAAAGCACCTTGAGCATAAAATCCAAACATTTGATCCATCTTATATTCTAGTTCTGGTTCAATCCCTTCTTCGCGAAATGCTTCAAATTTTGAATTCTCCTATAAGAAATTAAAGTTTAAAATAACCTCTAGATACTTATAATCCAAGCACATACTATAACAAATATAAAAAACTAACCTTAATCTTCATATTCCACCACTCATCAGTAGCATCAACAGTACTTTTTAGAGGATCCCATCCTAATCCCGTCTCCTTTCCTTTCAGTAGTTTCCAAAGACCCCACTTATGTCTCATCCAATCCACCTTGTGCTTAAGTTTTACTTTATCCCAGTGAAGGTTTGTATGTTTTACAAAATCGGCTTCTATTCTCTTCCATACCAACCTTTGAGAAGTTACTCCACCAGTTTTTCCCTTACTCTTTTCAACATTTTGCAGGCAGAGGTCACAGAGGAAGTGCGTTAATTCTTTTGTCCAACTAACTCTACCTATAGTTGCACTTTGTTGACTTTCGTTGTTCTTATTCCGAGCGAGATTCATCTAATAATATCACAATAAACTAATAATTCGGGAAACATTATACCACATAAAATATACTGTACATGTGAAGTAGTTGTTCAAAAACCAATACATAGCAGACAAGCATAAAAATCAAAGACATTTCAATGAATGAATATAAAAAGGACTACATGCATCTATTAACTCCAGTATCCTACATCCTCACAAACTACCTTGAAAATGAAATAAACTGGTGGGTTACAAATCATGCTACAACTGCTATCCATTCTACCTAAATTCATAAATACTACCGAGAGAACATACACCAAAGCGAATGATTAAGTTACAGGGACTTACTTTTCTTCTATTTTACATTAGTAGTATTACATTAGTATTAGAAAAACTTTTATTTATATTACAAATGAAAAGCTATTGGACAAAAATATTACTACCTTTGTTCGATTAATTAAGTTAAATAAATTTACTTGCTATCTGCTCTTTTTTTTTTTGAGAAACTATCTACCCTTTTTTGACACTATAAAAAAACACATAATGAGCTCAAATAGTACTCATTGAAGGAAGATAGGACTGCGAGTATTATACAAAGCCTATCTATTGCGGTTTTGCATTATAGGATTAATTTGCCACATGTAAATAGAAGGAATAACTCAAAGTAAGAGTGGCCGGCTACAGGGAGGTAGTCTACTACTAGTTTATTCGAGTGTGGTTGTTGATTTCCATTAATTTTTTTATTATTGATCTCAATTATGTGAGAGTCTTCCACAGCAAGAAATTGGGTGAGATGGTAGAGGATAAAGAACAAATTAGGCAGATAAGAAGTGACTATGGTACTATCATAATACAGTAACACAACACTTCCTTGTTTGTCAACCGAAAAACTCAAAACTGGGACATATACATCTATCAAACTCAAACATATAAATACAAATTAAAAACTTCACATAAACATTTTATCTTAACAATCTTTTCCACCTATGCTCTACAGATTACTTCTTCCTCTATTTCAGGGTTTATACATTTTAATTTTTACAAATTCAAAGATCTGTTTGTCAATCAAACCCCTATTATTTATCCATATATATATATATATATATATATATATATATATATATATATATATAACATAAACGAACAGTTTAGTTCATCTGGGATTCTGGGCATTCTTTTTTTGTCCTATTGGTGTAAAAAACATGAAAGAACTTCCTCCTTCGAATAGGTAGTTAAATTCTTGAAAACAAACTTGTAGTGCATGATTTTATCAAATATGTTCAGACATTATACTTGTGGCTTGACGTTTAGACGGAATGTGTGTGTGTGTGTGTATATCCCTTAAATTTGATGACCTTTTAATCATTATTTGTGAGAGCAAAGACTTAAACATTGAGTTGTTTGGACCTCTAGGATATTGCTTTGAACCTCTAGGATATTGTTTGGAAAAAGACTTAAACATTGAGTTTTCTAGCTATGATAAGGTATTGGATGCTCTTCAGGCAACTGGAATGATCACAAGTGTATATTATAACAGATAAAGGTGGTGACATGGTGGAGTAAAAGGCCTGTGAATTTTCCAATCCAAAAAATCAAAACAACGGTTTTAAATTGTTTGTTTCAGAGTTAATTATTTGTCATGTTTAAACAGAAAATCCAAACGAAAATTAATATGATGAAAGAAGAATACCGTCTAATAGCTTTGCAGAGCTTCACGGCTGCTTTTAAGCGTTGGTTGTGGAAGATGAAGTGACCAGAATAAAGAAAAGGGAGGCAGTACGGGTAGAATAGGAATATCGGATAAATTTTCAAACGGCTGAGACCTAAACGCTAGGATTTTAGGCGTTTCTTATTTTTAGCTGTTTGGGCCAAACAGCCAAGTCAAAAAGCCATTAACCAAACACTTTTAATCTGGTCAAAAGGCCAAGTTTTGGTCAAATCAGCCAAAATTCAGCTGTTATGAGCGTTACCAAACACCCCCTTAATCTTAGTTTAATTTATTGTGACCAATTTGTTTATCTATTGTTTATCATATTAGTATTATCAATTAAGGTTTTACCAAACACTACTTCAAATGTTTAAGATGGCAAACTTATGTTTTTAATTTTATTTGGAGTTTCACTTTTTATTATATTGTCAATCATTTTGTACTTCAATAGATTTTTTGTCAATCAACCTGGTCAATCATTATTTGAGAATGAATTTGGGACATATTAGTAATATAACATATTTTAACATAATCTCTTCATAATCTCTTCGTGGCACAATAATTTTGATGTGCTTATTGCGATCATGTTGAATGAGATTCACAACGAGATAGGAGGTAGAAACATTATCACAGTGAAGCTGAACTGACGTAGAAAGCGGAATGCCCATCTTCGACATAAATGAGCGGATGAAAACTGTATCCTGAACAGTATAGGCAATGGCACGATACTCAGCTTCAGTAGAAGATTTAGAAACGGTCGGTTGCTTCTTGGCACGCCAGGAAATAAGATTGGGACCCAGAAAAATTGCATAAACAGTGGTGGAGCGACTGCTATCTGAACAACCCGCCCAATCCGCGTCAGAGTATGCCACAAGAAGGGAGATGTCACGGTTTCCCTAAAGCCACAAATCATAATCTGTAGTACCCTGCAAATATCTGTGAATCTGCTTCACAGCCAAAAGGTGAGTAGTATGTGGTGCATGCATGAACTGAGAAACCAAATGTACAGCATAAGTTATATCAGGTCTAGTTAAAATCAAATACTGCAAAGCACCTACCATACTGCGATACTCGGCAGCATCAATAAGAAGTTCGCCATCTGTGAGAGAAAGAGTAGTGCACGATGGTAATGGGGTGCGGACTGGCTTAACAGTATGAAGATGAAACCGGCGTAATAGGTCAAAAATATACTTACTCTAAGAGATAAAAAGACCATGAGGTGTACGCCGAATTTGAAGACCCAAGAAAAAGTGAATATCTCCCAAGTCCTTCATGGCAAACTGAGTAGAGAGCGAATGAATAATAGAACGGACAAGGGTTAATGACGAGCCAGTAATTAAGATATCGTCCACATAAAGGAGAGTATATACCACCTGAGAGTTCTGACAAAAAATAAACATGGAAGAATTAGATTTACTTTGAGAAAAGCCATGAGATAAGAGGAAACCACTAAACCTGTGAAACCAGGCTTGAGGAGCCTGTTTGAGACCATATAATGCCTTCTTGAGACGACACACATGATGAGGAAAAGTAGGATGGACAAAACCAGGAGGTCGACACATATAAACCTCCTCCGTAAGATTACCATGAAAAAAAACATTCTTAACATCTAACTGGCGAATACACCAACCAAGAGAAACAACAATAGAAAAAACAAGACGCACAGTAGTGAGTTTAACTACAGGGCTAAAAGTTTCAGTAAAATCTACACCAACCTGTTGCTTAAGCCCTTGAGCAACTAAACGCGCATTGTGGCGCTCAACAGTCCCATCAGAATCATACTTTGTTTTATAAACCCACTTACATCCAACCACATTTTTCAAGCCATCCCAAGGCACTAAATCCCAAGTCTGATTAGAAAGTAGCGCATTAAATTCATCAGCCATATCAACCTGCCAAATAAAATGTTTTTGAGCTTTAGAAAAACAAGTAGGATCATCCGGGGGTGAGAGCACACTCAAATTAAAAATTGCTTTGGGCTTACAAATGCCATCTTTGGCCCTGGTTTGCATGGGGTGACAATTAGATAGAGGGAGTGAGGCCTGAGTGGGAGAAGAAGTAGGCGTCGGGCTGGTGGGTAAACTGGACGTGGAACTCAAAGATGGACCGGGTGTGGGGCTGGGCGGACTACTGATCAGTGAACTAGGTGTAGGAAAGATAATTACACCATATATGTATTACAGATCAAGAATGCTCAAAATATTATTTCTCACTTTTCCAAAGCTAAAAAAGATAATAACATCAAATAACTCTATAATAAATTCAAATATGTTTAAATTTACAAAATTTATATCCAATTAAAAACATATTTACTTATCTTATTAATATTGTTTTTAGGAAATTAGGATGTGCAGAGTGTATTAGGAGATTAATTCTAATCTAATATGGAGTTCTGGACTTTAGAGAGGATATTAGGATTTGTAGAGTGAATTTTTTCAACTCATTTTACCAAACAGATTTACCTCATCCAACTTAGAGTTCACATGGAGCATTTCAAAATTTGGCTCGAGACAATAGTCTAGTTTCATAATAGCCTTTACTCCAGACATTAAGCCTCCACCTAATTTTTGAAATGCCAAACATATACTAATCTTTGAGCTAGATTGGATATTGAGAAAATTTTACATAAATAATGTATAGAATTTTGTTGAATTCTAAATGAACATGACAAAATTTTTATAATTTTTAGTTGTATTTTTAAAATTATTAGAAAAAGTAATGAAAATACGACTTTAAAAATTGCTATATTTGTGTACATTTGGAATACATGTACCTAGATTTAATTTTTTTTTCTTTTTCTTTTTTACTGTGGGAGGTCGGGGTTAGGGGGTTTGGGATTAACTTAGATCCAACTCACCCCATTGAGTATTGAGTCGGCGGCCAGCTGTCGGACTGCTGCCTCAAAGTTAATTTACAATAGCTAGTCAATATATATCATTTTACAAATTATCAATGAAAATATTACACGTAACTTTTGAAATATTTATTAAATATGATATTTTTACTAGAATTCATTCATCCGGTCCAGCAAATTAAAACAACTGGCGAGGGCGAAATTCCCTGGAGTTGAGTGTTGATCACCAACCAACCAGCATTTGGGGGGTGGGAATTTGTTTGTACTACTCCACTCCGTATAATAATGTGGAAACCCATATCCATGGATCATCGCCATCCAATTCATTCATCCGCGCGGCGGTGAGTGAATGGAATGGAGTGGTGGTTGAATGTGGTGGTGTTGACGTGGTTGGTGGTGGGGGCAGATGGGTTTGTGGGGGTGTATTGGGGGCGATTTGCGACCCAGAGCATGGTGCCCTCAATGGCGGTGGATTTGCTTCTGCAGAATGGGATTTCGGAGATCCGGCTGTACGCGCCGTCGCCGAACGTGCTGACGGCGCTGGAGGACAGCTCCTTGGGCGTCACCGTCACCGTACCCAACGATTTCGTGAGGAGGATGAAATGGAGCAATCTCCGCAACATCCGCGACTGGATCGCTGAACTCATTGCCGTGCCCCTTCAAAGAGGGGTCAACATTAAGTACGCACGCACCTCCCTTTTTCCCTTTCTAACTAAATTTCAATTTCAAGGTAAAACAATAAATAGATCATCTTTATCCAAACATAGCTGCATAGATCCAATTTGGAAGGGTAAAACATAAAACTATTATGTATGTTCCAGTGCCTCTATCGAATTCGTAGATGCATACTAACAAATGATTCGGAATTCATTCAATTCAAGATCAATCTTAAATTTGGGGGGTTGAAATTGTAGTGAATATAAGCAGAAAAACATCAAAGCTCTGTAATTAGGAAATTACTAATGCCTTAGCTGCAGTTTCAACGTTTCTATTTTTCCTGCTTTCTTCATTCCACCGTGCTTGTGTTTTTCAAGTTCTGCCTTTCTCATAATCGACAACCATTCCTTAACTCATTACTTCAAACAAGGGTAATTTAGACATGTGAGTTATCTTTATTTATTTTTATTTAATTAAGTGGCCCCAAATAGCAATTTTACCCAATTTGAAATCTGATCTGGAAGGCCGGGGCCAGAGCTTAACACCATTTTTTTGTGGGGCCAAAGTTTTTTAGCTTATGTAATTATATTTGCCACGGGGGCCATAGCTTAACACAACTTTGACTGTAATAATATTTAATTACGTATTAGTACACATAAAAAAGTTAATAATTTGGAAATTTACATTAATAGAAATTCAATCATAGTTTATACAAAATAATTTGATCATATACGTAGTATATCATTAGAAAAGCGTAATCAAAGTAAGATATAGAGAAAATGTGCAAATAAGTCCTCGAACTAACCAAAAAAGTGCAAATAAGCCCTTATATTGAAGTAATTTATTTAATTATTGCCTAAATAACCCTGACGTTTTGCTATGGGAACCTTCCAACGGGACGGAGGTAACACTAAGCTACTAGCTCACATTAGTACATTACATTATTGTAGCCCGCACTTTCAGTACGATTATTATAGCAAAAACTATTACTAGTACAACTTTACGTACTGCTTGATATTAGTATTATATATGAATTTACATATAAACTAGTGTAACGCCCGGGGCAATGCCCCGGTACCGACACGTCAATTTGTCAATCATTCATAGGATACGAAGTTTAATATAACACATTTTTACTACGGAGTATGATCTAACCACCAACCATAATATTTTTTTATATTTTAAATGACTATATTAAACTACACGTCAGCATATATCACATATTTACTCTTTAGCCTATATCAATTTTTTTTATTGCGGTAGCATTGTGGTTGCGGTCACTGTGGCTGCGGCTATTGCGACCGATGCGTTGTAATTTAATTTTACGTTTGAACGAAATGAGAAAATAATTAGTTTTGATGTCATGATACAATCTGATATGGCCTCTTTGCGGCCACCATATGATTTTGTTGGGTTACATAGTAGATTTTCCCGTGAATTGAAACCGCGCCTCCATTGCGGCCCGATGTGTTAAAATAATAATATTTATTATGCCAATTCAATAAGAGAGTCACACAGTAGCATTTCATAATTCGTGTTTACTATATAGAACAATGAATAATAAGGAATCACATGTTTTAGATTTTTTTAAATTAACTCAAAAATGTAAACATTAATTATGAAATCTTAATTTTATGATTTTAATCTACTTAAAAAAAGTTATGGGCTTTAAAAAAAGCTCTAAGCTTTAAAATCTTCATCAATTGGATCTTTAGACTTTGTTATTTTTACATTTGCAATATTCGTGTCATATGAAAGATCATAAAGAGTTACAAATTTTGATATATTTTTTTATGAAAAATAGAGTACAAATAAAAAAGTTATAACACTTTAAAAATTAGAGATTTTTTCTCCTCCTTTCTCTACAAATGAGTTGGCCTAGCTAATAATGTGAATTGATATTCACGGACCGTGTGAACTTGCATTGACACTTGGGAGAATTAATTAAATGTTTTAGTAAGAGTGATAATCAAATCTTTAGTAACTAATCATAGATTGATACAATATTGATTTATAAATCAGTTTTACTATATAAACCAATAGATATCATTTTATTATCGTTATAACTATCCTTATTTTTATAATTATGATTATCATCATTATAAGCATTATCAATACCATTATAATATGCAGTTTTACTATTATACATAAATTACAGATATCAACAACCTGCATATTTATAGTAATAGTCACTTATGAATACTAATAACAATAAATGTACAATAATATTAATATAGTCAAATAATAATATTATCATTGATAATAACCATACTAATAGTCAACTAATATTGTTACTAAAGTTGGATTATTTTTTTATTTATTATTATCAGTATTACGTAGTGGTGGACTCGGGTCGGGCCGCCCGGCCCGGAATCGGACCGGCCCGGTACTGTTTGGGCCCGGCCCGGTACCTGGACTTGGGGACGGTTCGGGCCAACCGGAACCGGTCTAATCCCGGTGCGGGCTCGGGCCTTGAAAATGTTGAACCGGCCGGTCCGGGCCAGGTTCGGGCCTAATTTTTTTTTCATTTTTTTTTGTTTCTACCGGGTAGGGCTGGGTGTTTTGGGGGGGGGGTTGGGGGTTGGGGGGTGAGGGGGGGGGGGTCGGGGGTAATTTAGAAAAACAAAAGAAGAAAAAAAAATTGAACCAGAAACCGGCCCGGCCCGGCTCGGAACCGTCGGCCACCCGGGCCGGTTCCGGTTCCCTACTTCCCAAACAAAAGCCCGGCCCGGTCCGGGTCCACCCCTAGTATTACGTACGACTATTTGGGTATTAGTAAAAATTCATTACTATCTTATAGTAACCTTATACATATAACTTGTCTCCACTTTGAGTTGGAATTTCGGAGCCAATTTTTTTAGGCACTTTGCTACTTTATACTCAGATTAGCAATATAGAGATTAAAACTATAACGTATAAGACGTAGATTAGAAAATATTGATCATGAAGGTATTGTTGCTTTATGCTTCTCAGTCACTAAGCAAATTAATATGGCAATATACACTACAGATTAACTCACTAATTATATTATATACTTGTATTATCAATAGGTGGCTATGGGAGTTTTTTGCAATGCAGATGTTCTGAATTTTGGGCTAGTTAAATGGAATCTACCATATTGAATTCTGATATTTTGTGCAGTATTTATTTGAATAGAGATTATATATAATTGAACAAAACAGTCGTCCTCATCTATCCATTGATTTAATTAGTTTCTGATGATGATGATATACCTTTTAATATATTTCCACTTGCAGGACAATAATCGTTCTTGATGAACCATTCCTTCGCATCTCAGGGCTACAACCAATTTCGAATGCAACCAAAGTGTTCAGGGAAACAGTGGAGTGTCTACATAGCACAAACCTGTCACATATAAGAACAACCACTTCCCACTTCACAGATATATTGAAAAGTGTGAAGAAGCCATCCGAAGCCGATTTTCAGGACGATATCAAGGACGAGATGCTAGATTACCTGAGCCTGTTCAACAGCACCAATTCCTTTTTCACGTACGATATCTACCCGATCTTCTCATCCCAAGCCAACAACTGGCCCATCGAATTTGCTTTCATGGACAACAAGTCCAACTTTAGCATTGTAGACGGGCAATACACGTACACGAATGCCTTTGAGTTCATGTTTGATGCGCTTGTTGTTGCCATTGAAAAGGCAGGGTACCCGAACATGGAAATCGTGATCGGACAAGTTGGGTGGCCCACAGACGGGGCTAAAGACGCGAATGTTACTAACGCAGAAAGATTTTACCGCACTTTTCTCAAGCATATAGTGGAGAAAAAGGGAACCCCGAGACGACCAAACACCAACATAGACGTGTTCCTTGCCACATTGACCGATGAGAACAAGATTCCCCTAGTTTATGGGAACTACCAACGCCGAAGGGGAATCTACAACTATGACGGGACACCGAAATTCAAGATTGATTTCTCTGGGCAGGGGCGGGACATCTACCCGTGGGCGGCCAAGGGGATGGTGAAAATGCCTTCGCGCTGGTGCATATTCAATGGGGACCAAAGCAATTTGAGTAAGGTGGATGAGCAGGTGAAGTTTGCCTGTAACAAATCTGACTGCTCCTCTCTCTACTTTGGTTCCTCCTGTGGCAACCTTAACTACACCTGGAATGCCTCCTATGCCTTCAACATGTATTACCAGTCCAACAACCAGGAGCTGGAAAATGGGGCTTGCAATTTTGCAGGCTTGGGCGCGTTGACTCCGTTTGACCCCTCGGTGGGTACTTGTACCTTCCCGGTCGAGATTTTGACGGCTGAGAAGGTCGATGGTGGCGTACAAATGCTCAACTATGTTGGCTATGCGCAATCTGGTGGCGCATCTTATAATTACCCAGCATTGGAGATCGTCATTTCAATTGCTCTTCCATTCTTTTCCTGTCTATTTCTTTTCATCAAACACATGCATTAATTCTAGTCATGCATTTTTATGACTAGCTACTCTCCCATGTTATTGTACTAAATGCATGTTTTTGCACTTCCTGCATAACAATGTCAATTCTCAACTTTCACAGTCAGGCAGGGTTCTGAATAATTGGCCAAGCAGTTTTTTACGACAATATTCACATTAGGATTTCTTTTTACTTTTATTTCAAAATTTTACAAAACTAACGAACTTGCAAGCTAAAACGCCTAAAAGAAGGAACGAATTCTCTGATTTTTAACCTCTTCAAAACCTTTTAATTTTTCATGACCCGGGGGTTTTGACACATGGTTTACATCTTTTTTGCTTGTTCATGCTCGTGGACCGTGGTTGGTTCTGCTAGTTTTTTGTTGTTGGAAAGAAACAACCTGCATAAACAAGATTCTTTTCATGTGGATAGATGGAGTATCAGCTTAGTCTCTTTAAGTCTCAAACCAGATTGAATCAAGTTCACAGATCAGACCACAATTCAATGATCGTAAAATACACAGAGACCAGACTAGAAAATTTCAGTCCAACTAAAAACATCCTTAAAGACATGCATGTTTTTCATGCATCCCAAGTAATCGTTAGCACTTGTTGTCAGTGATGTCAACAATTAAAGTAATAGTATAAATACAATAATGCATAAAAAATATTATTAATTTAGTAGTTTTAAATTTTAACTAATAACACGCCCTTTCATAATTTTATGAGAATTCAATATTGAATTCATTTGTAGTATTCATACATCAATTAAACCAATACGAAGTACTGCATTATCCAAAAAACTTTGAAATCGCTTAGTACTCCGTATATAAAATAACCATTCCACTAGTGAAGCCGTTCATTTTTTTTGTTTGATTTTTTTTATTGTTTTTTGTGTCGACCAAACTTGATAAAATATTATTAGATTAAGAGTAGATATAGTAAAATATGGTCTTCAGTTTATATTTGATTTTTTAGTGGTTAATTGACATCACAATATAATGTATGGCGTCGTCCCTATACAGCTATACTTATGATCGAGGAGAATGGAGCCGTTCCTTGTCACGGGAAATACAAACCCATTGGCCATTACGCGTGTGATAGTTCCGGGCTGGATCCCAGAACTGGTTCGGACAAACCAGACCCATCCCACTTTCTTGGGGTTTCCTTTATTTTTTAACTAAGCTAAAATTTGAAACCAAATATCCGGCTCAAGTTCGTGTTTATCTTTATTTGACCCTTCTTTCGGGTGTCGATCATATGCTTTTAGCATCTATACCTTGAGCACGTGTAATTCCCAACATCTTAAAATTAGGGTTTATTTAATTTTATGAATACTACTTTTGTATTTATAAATTTATATTATCGTATTAGTTTTTTGTTTTTTGTTTTGTTTTTTTGGACAAAACTTGTAACTGGGATGTGATCAAACTTGTAACCCCTCTTTGGGAGTGTCATAGTGACGTATTAGTTTATTTGTTAAAACAAATTGAATGCTTTTAAATTATACGGGTAATTACTAAAAGTGAATATTCTCAAACCCTCTCCAACGCTGAACCATTGTGGCTTTTGAGCACCGTTTAAAAATATGAAAAATGTTACTTGTACACGCTGGCTTAAACGCCTGTTTACATGCCGAGTGCATTTTGTCTAACAATTGATTTTCATTTTAGTAAAAGGAACTGTTCGTAACCTCGAAAAAATGTAAAATGCACATATAATTCAAGGTCACACACAATTCCTTTACTAAAATGATAAACAATTATCTGTGCACAAACAAAATATACTCAGCGTGTAAACGGGCGTGTAATCCAGCATGTACAAGTAACATTTTTTTTTTAAAAATATTAATATCTATCTACGGCAATAAGGATGATGCATTGTCCGGATCTATTATTCAAGAAAACAATATTTTTTTATACAGAAAAAGTTTCTGTTAGCACTAAAACAGGAAGAAAAAAACCATTAAAACCTACAAAACAGTGGCGATTGCATAGAGAAAAGCAGTAGCTTATATAAAGCAGTATAGGAAAAGCTATAAGCGGTGGGAAGTGGGAAGTAAGTGCTACTGCACAGCTGAAATCTTAGGCTGCTGCTGCCTGAATGGTAACATTTGGTTTGAACACTCCGCGGGGTATCCCTCTGCCATTCCCTCGACCCCTGCCATTACTTCTGCCTCTGCCTGAAAGAAACCATAGCATCTTGTTACTTTTCTGTGTCACAACAAAATGAATTATCCTTCTGGTAAAAAGGCTGATGGAAGTAAATATTCGAAAGGAGCTAATGTCCAATAAAAATTAAGGTCTGAAAGAAAGAAATAATGCTAGATAAGAAAAAGTTGTAGTATGCATAAATGCACTTACCACGAACTTGAGCAGGTATTGTTGTTCCCGATGCACTGTAGATATCATTCCTAGTTACATAGGCTCTCCCCCGTCCTGGATAACCACGGCCTCTTCCACGACCACGCCCTCTGCCTCTGCCTCTTCCAGTGATACTGCGCTCTCCTTCCCATCCACCATCTTCATCATTCCTTACTACTACTCCATTGTTTGTAGCCCCTGCTTAAAAGTAGAATACCATTTAGAGATATTGTTCTATTAACTCAACATGCACACAGCTCTAATTTTTTCCTTCTTTGTTTTGCAAGCTACTAGAGTATAGAATATCTGAACGAGAACGAAACATCGTAACATTCATATACAGAAAATACGATCCTCCCGTTAAATGAGTAACTTACTCCTTTCATAATCATATGTGGCCACTGAATTCACTTGATCAGCGGGAATTGGTGGTTGGTACCTGCAAGAGTAGTAGAGTACAACAAAACAGTGTGGTTTATCTACCTTGGGTAAAAACATGCTGCACTGCAATGCTTTAACATAAGAAGAGAGACCTGGAAAGAACCCAAGCATAAAATGAATTTACACTAAAAACTTATTAATTGTCTTAAATTAGTTAATACTACAAATTCATGCATAATCCATCGTGTCAGCTTCCCTTCCTGTACAACCTTCTCAAGAAGGAATGACGAGATGAAATGCCATAGTTTTTTTCCCACTCGTATGTAAAACATCAAGTAAGGTAATGAGATGGGAGTGTTGTTATGGTCATGTGTCATTGAAAAATTGAAATTTTAAAATCAGTATGCAAATTGTAGAGCATGACTGTAAATCTTGATTCTACTGAAATTATATTTGTTTCGGACAATGAACGTTTACAGGTGCCACGACGTAAATTAGTTTCAAAGTTGAGATACACACTTCAACTTAAAGATCAATATTGTGGTTGTTTTGGCCCTTCACATTTTATTGGAATAGGTTTGTATAGGAAACTACTCCATATTTGAATAAATATGTCAGAAATGCAGTATCAAATAGAAACATAAAAATACAGTCCACCCATACAGGACAGAAAATGCATATCATCCATTTGATTGACTGCCGTTAATTTTCAGAAGATGCACTCAATTATTTTCAATGATGTGATGGATAATTACCCTGGGGAAGAGCAATTCAACTCCGTCTTGGACAGGGTGACTGTTATCACAGACACATGACGGACTGTCTCTAGGCTGCATTAGGAAAGAGTTGAAGCTTTGGAAAGTATTCATTGTGTCAGAGTAAGAAAATAATAAAAGAAAATTGAAAAATAATAGTGCTGTATTACGGAACAAGTCCTTCTTCCAAAGGTTCCCATGTATCTGTGATATCAACAGAACCAATGGTAGTATTCTGATGGAGACCTGCAACTCTTCTCTGTCACAAAGAACAATTACATGTAATAAGAGAATATGAGTTAAAATATAAATGGAAAATAGTGAATTGCCTGACTGCCACCTTTATCAATTCAGCAACAATCACTGTTTTATTTATTGCTCTTCCCATTGCCTTGAGTGCTATTTCTTTAGCCCCTTTCTCCTGCACAAAGTTTTACAAAACTGAACAGATGAACAGTGATACTGTAAGATAAAATGAAAGCACTTGTAGATCAAATGGCTGATCCAAATATGTTGTGCTTGTTTGATCCCAAACTGTCCCAAAGCATATGAGAGTTTACCTACCTAAATAATAGGTAAGAATATCTTTTCAGGAATCTTAAGAATCGGACATTTTAGAAAAATGGCATTTCACACATCGAGGAGTTGATTGAGGATCATCACAAAACGCACAGACAATCAAGAGCTCCATTCTCCTCATTGATATAGGATTACGTCTTGTTTAAGGTATGCAATATTCATTATACATTCCATTCATCATCACTTGCACTAAAATGCAAGCATACTATTACAGCAGCAATGATTGGAGATTTAGGAAAGGATGACTTGAAAAATACCAACTACTGGTCACGTAATCAGCATAATGTCAACTTTAGAAATTACAATTTGATAGGCAAACTTTTTAATATACGGAATATAACACAAGCATATTTTGTGGTAAAAAAGTACGGCCTAAGTGCTAACATGAGAGTCAGAGAGGTGTGGCTGGATTCAAAGTTATGATTACTTGTCCATGAACAGTAGTTGGTATTTTTGTTGAACTGCCAATAGATGCATTATTTTTACATAATTTAAAATATATTAGTAAAGCTTAAATCTCTACAAAAGAAAATCCTAAAACAAAATATTAAAATTACTAGAGCAGATCACGATTCAACATATTATTTCCTCCTCTACCTCAAAAAAGTTCTATACTCCATTTCCCCTATGCCAAATTTTCATCAGATCTCCATTTTAACCAACTATTTAGTAGTTTATTCCTTTGAAACAAATTCGAGTTGTGTTCATTGGACATAATTTCAAAGATCAATTTTGGAAGTATCAAACCTTAAAGATAAAATATGAATTTACAGTTTAATGATATGATCTAAACTTAAATCCAGAAGGATCTCTTACAATTCGAGCTGGTTTAAACACACAAATAAATCATTGTAGATAACAAACAGATCTCTGCATTTAATGAATGGAAAAAACTATCCACATTTGCTAAGTGTAAAATTACCTGAAGAAGGTTATTGGCGTAGGTAATGTAGTTCCTCAGCCTCCCCTGCGCGGTGATTCTGATCTCATTTTCGTTCATAGGAGTCTCCTCCCTCGGCTTCTCCACCTTCTGGTACCGATCCATTTCCCGCTCTGCAAAA